ACTAATGACTGAAAATTTAATGAAATATTTTTTCATATTAGCTTACAGAAAATAATGCGTCTGACAATAAAACCTTCCGTCTTTTTCATAACACTTTTCTTCAAGATTTTTATCACAGGAACAACATCTAAGGCAGTTCTCGTGAAAAGTTGAACCATTTAACTAAAAAAATCATATTTCTTTACTGTTTTAAAAAATATGTTTTTTGCTGCTACAATACTGCAACTATAAAGTTTAAAAAAGGACAAGAAAAAAGTTTGAAACATTGTTAAATGTTTTTTTTTTTTTTTTTTTTTGAATGTGTGTGTGTGAACGAATAGCATCAATTATGATACCTTTAACAAAAACTGATCAAGAATTGGTGTTAAACAATGCCCGCAAACCTAAAATTTTAAAACTTATTAACGCTAAAAAAATCGAATTGGTTTTTACTTAATCAGTTTGATGTATAAATAAAATTTTCTTTTTTTTTTCTTGTTTTCTGCTCTTCTAGTAATTAAAATCAGTTCAGTTTGAACCGATTTTACAAATCCATAAATTAAAGAAAAACAGCTAAAGAAGATTGCCAAATTGTTGAACTGAATTGAAAACAGAAAAAAGCGTTTGTAATAATTTGGCTTCGTTTCTATTCTTTTCTTATTCTGCTAAAAATACTGTTGAAAAAAAGATGAAAGGAAGACCATTCATTAGGTTAGAAGCCTTCACTGTAATTTTTCCTTATAACAACTAAAATTTAGACATATTTCAGAGAAAAGATAAAAGAAGCTGAAGAAGAAAAAAGCTAAATAAAAAAGAAGGGTAGCTAATAAAGTGAAGCTTAACAGTACTGACATTGACAATTTGACAAACAGTTTCTGGATTGCGACCAACAGAATCTACAATGCGTCCAATCGCCGACAACAACGGTTTCTGTTCGACTAGGCAATCCATGATTCCTGTTACCGACAATTGTTCCACTAAACAGCTCAGATTTGGCACAGTTACCGTATGTCGCATATAGGAGGAGCAAAGAGCAAAAATAAAGCTTAAATCCAATGCATTTATAAGTGTTTTGTTGATAGATTTGATTAATGCCTTACTTTTGCCATAAATAGCGCAGTTCTATACCGTAACAACCTTTGATTGAATTAACACTCGAAGTTGAAACAAAAATTTTGTAAAAAAAGCCTTTCTAGACTTGAAGTCAACGCGATCCAGCAGTAATTTTTCGCTGTTTGAAATGTCCAGGCCTGTTATCGGTAGGTTAGTACTATTAATCATCTGTAATTAAGGTAGCAGATTGTTATCGGTAGAGCCACCTAAACAAACACTGATCTCTCTCAGCGCTTTCCGGTTAATCAAATGTGCAAATCGTAGGACTACCAACCTAACGATAATTGATGATCGACAGATTTCTTCTGAGCATCAGTTAGCATACATTCATATACCACTTTCTTTCTTCCTTCAATACAGAATAAAAATTTTAGAATACTTAAAATAACAAAGTATATTCTAAATAACAACTTTACTTTTAAGATATGTAATGTCCTAAAATTTTGTGATATTAAATTTACTATATATATACGTCTACATATATATATATATATATATATATATA